CACTTGGTGAGTTGAGAACAAATGGTCGTACACCCAGACTTTCCCCCAGCACCCACCTTTGTATGCCTCTTCTGTATACTCCTATTGTCTGTAATGCGGGCATTCTGCTCAGTGGTTTTCTCCTCGTTTGACTTGCTCACCCTCTCTACAACATCTCTTATTGCTGCCATCCATTCGTCCCTGCAACAAAGAACAAAAAACCAACATGCATGTACATGTAACTGATCTTTCACCATTTGTGAGTTGGCCACACCCTTTGGACAACCCTAGGAATGTACATGCAGTTTTGCATCTCAGATTTTGTATGTGCTGCATCCATTTTGTATCATGTAGTGAGCCAGTTCGGTATTTCAAAACAGCAAGGTCATTTGGAACCAAGCAGGGTAAGACCCCCTCCCCATTGACAGGGCAGTCTTTGCAAGTGCGTCCGAATGACCTGGGACAGGCTTCATTTCAGGCATGCGCAGTGGTAATACTGAACTGGCTCACTGGACAACATTTCACAAGCTGCACTGACTTGACTCTATCACAATGGCTGAGTTCAGGCGGCTTGTTCTCGTTTGTTAATGAACAGCTCGATTGGTTGTTTGTGGGTCAGTCGCTCGAATGCCGGCAATGTTCAACCGGTTATTAGCGCTAGTAGTTATTTGTGCCAAGCAACATGCAACATGGCAGCGTCCTTGTGCATTCTTCGAGAGTTAATGTTGGATAACTGGGCTAACTTCTTTTCCATTTAAAAAATTCATTTCTGTCATGGAAAATTATTAGTATTAATTTTGCAAAACTTTTTATTGTCTTCGGCTTTTTAAAGCCATATCGGTTTCACAGGTTTTTCCATGTGTTCGTTTAAAATCCTGACAAGGAGGTGGTGTGTGATCCTGTTCCGAAAACAGTTCTTTGGTCGTGTTTCCGCCATTTGAGTGCAAGAACACGAAACCATTATACTGAGTATAGTAGAGATCAGTGCACGAAACCCGTGTCAAGAACGGACTGCCTGAACTCGACCAATAAGTCACTTACCCAGTTTTTTGTATTATGTAGAGTAGCTGTACTAAAAATGATCAAGTGTGACACATACCGATATATCAGTGGAATACGCTTTCAGAATGGAAGGAAAACAACCATTTATTTATGAACATTCACTTTTCTGGGCTTTTGTCCAAAATACAATGAAATTCAAACTGTGTCTAGTGGGTCAGGGCTGCTATCGCCTGTCAGCCTGTGATATTTACAATGCACATAATCACACTTTAGCAACTTCAGTTTAGCTTTTTAATAACTTGAGAGCTTCTGCAACCTACTGGTACATGTGTATGCTTTCAAAACTACAACTCCTGTTATGCACACCTTTTGTGCCTATTGCACTGAAAGTCTCCTGTCCATGCTTTGCACATTCCTACTACATGTAGACTTGACTTCAATGCGCATGTAAACGTACATGTATGTAATAGTGAACACACTTAAACAAATCAATAGTAACAGGTCATGGGGCACACTCAAGTTAGTTTTCTCAGAAAAATGAATAGGCAGTCTCGATGACACAATGTACTGCCAATATCATCACACCGGTACTTCAACCTGATCCATGCTGCAAAGCTTGTCAAAGGATACGTAAATGTTTAACAACTATAGGAAGGACAAGTACTGCTTCCAAACAGGTTTGCAGCCAGTTTTACAGGATCATAACTAAAGAAACATTTAACCACCTCCTCCTCTAATGCAGGATGTACATGTAGAAGATGGAGCAGATGTTCATGAACATGGACCAGATCAAGACTTTAGCTTCAGCAATGAACATGTACTTTTTTCCATAAAGCTCTTCCCTCCTCCCCTCGGTTTCTCAGTCTCTTTTTCCTCAACATCAGAAGTTTCCCTGTTGTTATAAAAACGACACTTCCTACATATGCCCATGACAGGAATTGTCCACTTCCACAAACAACTGCCTTTCCTTGGAATAACAGGGGCATGCTGTGCACCTTTAATCAATTCATTTCTGGTATCTGTACATACATGTATCAATTTCAAACCTAACTGATTTTCATTTTTTTTCCCTTGAAAAAGTGTCTCCAACTTGAAAACCATTATTCAACAATCATTAAAGGTTGGCAATGACAATTTCCCTGAACCTGGGAAAAAAACCGAAAACATACTGACTTGAAATGTCACAATGTGTACATGTACCTGCATGTCAAGTACATGTACTCATCATACATGTACACTTACATGTACACTTACATGTATGTACATGAACATGTAAAATGTAACAGTACACATGTGTGCATGGTACCGTGTGTACCAGTTCATGTATAGAGAAGACAAATTTGAAAACCAGTACACTGTATGTATAAACTGCACTCGAGACTTCCTACAGTACATGTACATGTACATTAGCTGTGAAGAAATAGGCCTTTGACAGTAACTATGCCAATTAACATGATTAACATTCACAATTATACAGTCATAAGCACAACTGTGACCGGCTCTAGACAGATGGGCAATAAGTCGCCAGATTCAGGTTATGAGTTAATGATACATGTAATGGCTGGATTTTGTACATGTCCATACCAAAAGCTACAATTTGTAAATGACCCCTCTAGTGCACTGTGTTCTAGAGATCAGGAGATACGGACTATGATAGACATTTGTACATCCACATTTTTTGATTCAATAAAAGCACTTTTCAAGAACAAGCTCATAAAGTGTAGTGCTTGGAAACACATGCTACATGTATGTAGGACTTCCTATCAAATGATCAATTATTCATTTTTCTTCATCAGGATCCATGTTTGTAGTCACCAATTCTGAAATATAAATATTATAGAAGCTACATACATGTATTAAAGATGAAAAACACAAAATCACGTTTTGAAGAAATCTTGCCCTCTCCAAATGTACAGGTACATGTAGAACAGGCCATTACATGTTTTGGCATTGCATGACTTACATGTACATGTATTACCCTTTTTTGCAGAGCGGCTCACGATTATAAAACGGAATCACTTAAACAGTGCATCAATACTGAGATTCAGTGCTCAGACACCAAAATGGAGAAATTTGAGCACAGCTTCATGTACGTGTACATGTGTGCAGAATTAAAGACCATTTGCAGTCTTCAATACCTGTTCAACATTCTGCACATCAAACTCCCCTCCCCCTCCTTACAAAATCAGGAACAAATGTAATCTACAATGTGCTCCAATGTACTGAATTCTTTCTTAGGGTCCTTCTGATGTGTAATTTCAGGTTTGTTCCATGTAAAACACTGCACAGAATCCACTGCATGCATGTACTGTACATTTACATTTGTACAAACAAGCATACAGTGTGAACAGGACAGTATACAAATACATGTACATGTACACGTACATGGTCGGAGGTTGGATAGTCAATTTTAAGCACCTTCAATATTGGAAGTTAATGAACTAGCTCCGAAGGCGCAGCTGAAAGAACCGCCATTCCTGTAGTGTGTCAACTTCCAATGTGGAGAAGACAGCACTAACATGGCCACCCACCAGACCATTTACATGTAATGTTTTACCATGCCGCATACAAATTCGGTTGCCACTAAAATTCTAGGAACAATGCAAGATCCAGGTACAATGTACATTTTAATTTACACAGATATTTGTTCTGAGTCACGTAGCTACGGGTAGGGTGATGCCTGTGCATGTGTACTTTACCAAAACTGACAGTTAAACTGAACTGTTACCGGAAACAATTAAGTATGGTAGCATTTTTGACTTGCACATGCATATTGCCTGGTCAACAGTAAAAATAGTGACTGGAAGGTACCTGCACATGTACGGTACATGTAAGTGTGAATGGACCAACGAGAACCGGTCCACTATGAATACCGGTACGCACCGGTAGGAGGTGCATGTATGGTAATATGAACAGTGCATGTGCCGGATACATGTACTGTACATCTCTTTCTGCAACAATGCATGTATCCGGGTACTTGTGAGCAATTGTGCTGCATTAGTAAAATCCGCCCCAAGTTGAAGTGCACCCCCCCAGCAGCACAAGAAAGACATATGGTAGTAAGTTTTCCAAGTGGGCTCTTGCACGCGCTCTGCGGGTACACAAAGACCGTACATTAAGGAATAAATGCATTAAGCGTACTCAGCGTGCTCCGCATCACACGCTACTGATCTCCATTATAAACGCGTGCTTATGCAGTGAGGACCTAAAAAACACGCTCTCTTTTGTTCCACTCGGAGCAGATTACAGAGAACACCCCTACCCCCGAAAAGACAAACAAGTACCTGTTATTGAAATTACAGGTACTACAGACCCTGCGAACAAATGGTCTGGTATACAGAGTACTATAAACAGAGGTGAGATTGACCACTGATAAAATAGCTGAAATTAACTTTAAAAAAAAGCATAAAGAAGCTGAACTGTGAAAATCTCCTATACTTTTGTACACAGTCAGTAAGGAAAAAAAGCTGAAATTCATAACAAAAACAGCTGAAATCAGCTAAAAAGCTGAGAAATCTCACGCCTGCATAAACCTGAGCACAGGTAACCAATCAAATCACCGACTTCACTTTTCATTGAGAACAAATTAATCAGTGGCAGGTGCTGCATCAGCAACCCTTTTCTCGCTTCCACAGGAATGACAACACAACAACATTCACCCATCGTTGACCCCCAACCCCTTCCATATTCCCAGGCACCAACAAAACAGAGAGAGAGGTAGAGAAAAAAAAACCTGGGCTTGTTTACGTCCCTCGGCCACAGACTTTGTTTTTTTCCCAAGCCCACAGGAAGCCGGGATTTCCTTTTGCCGTCCGTACGCCTGGCTAATCAATTCTGCCCGATACTCTGTCTCTCCCCCCCCCATGTGCAAAGATTAAAAAACGCGGCGCGTTGCAGGTCTGCTGGTCCAACCAACCCTGGGCATGTGTCGCCCAGGATTCCCGCTGAAGGAAAAAAAAAAGAACATTTACAAATTTACAGCCGACAATGTTTTTTGATGCTGTGCAAACAGCACTGCATGTACGAGTACATTGTACTAGTATATTGCCTCCATGCAGCACATGGAAGCAATGTACTTCCATCTCTTAACTCCATTTGCTTTAGTACATGTATGGGTACATGTACACGTATATATCACGTTTGTTTTGGTTTGCATGGTTTTTAAAAGCGACTTTTTAAAATATCCAGACAGACGAGTG